TTAAGTGTTCAGTAAATAATTATGATGTTATCGCTTAATCTTTTTTGAGTTATTATTTTGCAGTGTAAGATTACATAGAGTATTCCAAATTCTAAGAATCGACCGAGCCGTACCATGCAGTGGAAAAGCGCCAAAAGAGAAGAGAAATGTAGGGCCCTATGAAATCCTTTCCCCCCCCCCTAAATTCCATTTTATTTTTTTCAAAATTCTTTTTTTTCTGTTTAAATTTTTCTGGATTCTGTTTTTTTCTGTTTTAATTTTTCTTTACTCCTTTTTAATAGTTAAATTAAATTTTATTAATAAAAAAGCATGTATAATTAATTGAAATCAAGAAACTTATAAATTTTCACATCAATTTATTAAAAGTTTAACAAAAATTACATGTTTAGGTGGCGCTTTTCCACTGCGTGGTACGTCTCGGCTCAGCACGGCTCAGTACGGCATGGCACGGCTCGGCTCGGTTTGCGTTTCCACTGCATTTTCGTGTTATGTATTTAAATTTTTCAGGTTATCAAATGAAGGCTTAAAAAATTAATTTTATTTATCTTTTAATTATTGAAAATTAAGCAAACTTGATTTTTTTGGCAAACAAAGGGGATTTACTATTACAATTACAACATGGAAGAAATGTGTGATTATTCCTTAAAAAATAATGTTTGTTTTATTTTAGTAGTAGTAGTAGTTGTTGTTGTTGTAGTAGGCTATGTACTTTCTACTGAAAAATAGTAATAGGCACAATATCTTCAAATCAAACCGAACTTTTATTTTGACGGGTTGCCGTGAATACCTTTACAGTTCTGTGTATGTGATATGACACTAGTTTTACTCAAATCAAACGGTCAAATGCTCATGAAGTGACTCTCAGAGCAGTTCTGGAGATGTTGTTCATGTGTTTACGTCCTCATTTAGTGAGACGGCAGACGCTGAAATCACCGCGAGTGTCAGGTGCGCTTCAGTGTGTGTGTAGTAAATGAAACCGCGAGTCTGCGCCATTCATTAACAGTGACACGCAGAACATGCAGGATTCATATTTAAATCGACTTTTGCAGCTTAATAGTTACAGATACTAGTCCGTATCGCGATTTGATTTAAGTGTAATGACCTACTTTTGATTAATTCATTTAAAATTGGACAAATTCCATGACATTCCGCGTTTAACTGTGAATTCCGTTTTTATGACTGGATTTCCGTGATTCCATCCGCGTTTTCCACATCGCGCCCTAGAAATGAGTCATGAACTCCAGCAAGATGTCATTTTATGCGTATCCCCAGACCTTTATCTACACATCAAGTATTATAATGGGAATATATATATATAATCTTGGAGAGAGAGTTTTACCGTGCTGACTGTCATAACTGAACGTGACGTGCTGTTTGAATGCTGAGCGGAGAATAACTGACAGCTGCAGCAGAAGGAAGATAAGTTTCTGTAAACTTAAATTTAACACTGTAAATACAATTCCATCCCTCACATTAAGATATAGAATGGCTTCAGATGATATAGGCTGTACAGTGCATGAAAAGCAAAATGGTGCTCTTCTGTTTCTTTTGGTGTATGACTCCCCCTTGTGCCATATAAGAAGCACAATAATAATTTCAGACAACCGCAGTTAGATCAAATAATCGCGATTAGACATTTATTTAATTATCGCGACAGGCCTAGTATGCGATTCTCCGCTAAACTTCACAGACTTTAATGAACGAGCACCGTCACACACATGCGCACCAAACAGACGGAGCACAATAGAATAGGAGCGCAATAATTGTCATATGTAGAATTTTAAACATACAAGTGTATTTTATGATCGGAGATAACAGTAATGGGGTAATGAAAAATAAAATGCAATTAATCTGTGCTCTTGTGTTTATTTACTTTCATTTTTAGTTTAGTGAATTGAACTCCTGCTTTATAAAGCATAATTTTTGTTTTTAGATTCTAATGTTACAATGTTAGAATGTAATGTGACTTTAGCCCCTTTTTTGCACATAATGAATAGTACAGCCTACTTTCACTATATTTGTTTTCATTGCCTTTAATATAAACATTGTTTCATTGGACAACATTAGGCATGATGGTAAAAAAAAATAAAAAAATAAAAATATATATATATATATTTAAATATATATATTTTTTAATCCAAATAGAAAATGTAGAGAATACTGAGATATATACCGTATATTGCATTTCAATCAAAAAAATCAGAGATATGATTTTTTTTTGGCCATATTGCCCAGCCATGATATCTATATATACACACACATACAGTATATCCCCTTTATACAACATATAGCTTACAGTAGGGCTGCACAATTAATCGAATTTCTAATCGCGATTACAGTTATGGATGCCACAATTACATAATAGTTCAAAGCGGCAATTAATCGTTCAAAGTCCACTTATGTTATTCTGCATGCTTAAGATGCGTTTTTTCTTTCTTTCTACATGTTATCTTAAGGGTTTTTCCCATTATTTTAATTTTAGTATAA